AAAATGTTGTGGTGGGTACACAGGCTTGTGTGTTGTGCCCATGGCCCGGGAGGGCCATCCCACGAGAGAGAGCTAGGAGTAGGCCTTGTGTCTTCCTGCTAGGCCACTGTGTGTGTGAGAGCGTGGCAAGGGCCGGCAGGCTGGCGTGCCCACCGAGAGGCCTGGCTACAGAGGGCAGCATCTTAGTGCCGCGAAATATGAACTAAGCTGACAGACAGCATAGGCTGTTTGTGCAGACAGTACAGGCTGTCTACCGCGTGTCGTCCCGACGTGACGATACTGGTGGTAAAAGGAACTCGGTCTCTCTCTCGTAGGAACAGGGCACAGAACACAAAATAAAAACATATATATACATATGGACATGGAAAAAAAAACTTCCTACAGGGAGAGAAGAAAAAACATGTTGGGTGTGCTAAACATCGTGGTCATAGGCAGTGAGCGTCGATGGGCATCACTGCACGCCTTCCTGTGTCTGGACAGATACTGCAACACGGGAGACATCGCTGCGGCTGAGCTGTGACATAACAGGTTACGGTCTCCTCTGGAACGGTAAAGCAGACATCTTAGGAGTCACTGCAGGTTTCACTCAACCTGGGGCACGACATGCTGGTGCCCTCGAGTGAGGCGTCGACAAAACTCGGCAACTGGGCAGGACTTCTGGCAAGCGACTCAGGAGGACACTTCTCGACTGGTACTGTCGCTGGGCTGTCACTGCCGGCGAGCGTGGAGCGAGTTGTAGAGAGAGTCGTGGCAGAGACAACTGGGTGAAACATCTGGGAGTCGTAACATCATACACCAGACTGCAGTGAGAGAGCTAGCAGTCAAAGTGACATCTTCTTTGTGCAGGCTGCTCACTGAAGCTTGTGACACGAGGCTGACACAGCGTGACTTGGCGAGTATCATTCTCTCGGCAGTTGGAGTTATAGCAGAGGTTAGTCTAAGCATCCCCAGACTTGTTTCTCTACATATAACTACACTCTGACGGTCTGGAGGTGAAGTGAAGCAAATCTCGATGGGAATCGTAGCAGGTACGATTCTGCAGAACATCACGAGCGATGAGCATAAAAGCTTTCTGTACAAGAGGGCTCGGTCACTCAGGGCTGTCTTGACATCAGCTGTCATATGCACTGGTCACATCAGGTGACTTAGCACAGTGGTGCTACTCAGGTCTGGCTCAGACCTCACTGGACACACGGAAACTTTAAACACACCCTCGGTACATGTGGTACAACATGGCTTAAACTAGCAAATGATGCTTTTCTGTGCATAAAACTGACACTAAGACATACTAAAATGTGAGAACACTGACTGAGAGGAATTAACACACGGCATATATCTTCTCTTAGTCTTCTCGACAATATTTTAATAATTACTGAACACTCGATGGTGACATCATGTGATGTCAGGCGTGATGACGTCAGCAGCACTGTGACGTCAGCAGACATCTCAAGGTGACTTCAGGCAGACATCGTGAGGTGACGTCAGCAGACATCGTGACGTCATGAAGTCGGCCAGCATCGTGGGTGACGTCGATGTGATGCGGGCAGCAGACCACAGCATTAGGCCTGGGACATCTGGTAACTCACGTGGCTGGTAGATCCACGTGACATCGCCCACACCCACATGGCGTCGTGATCTACATGGCATGCTGATCCACGTAGCTTCGAGTGGCCTCGGGCACTCGGATACACAGTTCTGGCAATGAATTCACACGGAAAACAGCAGAAAACACAGCAGAGGGAGTGGGCAGTGGTGAGTGGTGTATGGTAGTGTGGTGGCGAGGAGCGTGGGTGAGTGTATGGCGAGGGAGCATCTGGCCATTCCTCCTCCTCCCACCCACAAACAGAGGGAAACACACTGGACGCAGAAATCACCACGAAACTCACCTCTGGCTTGCTGAAACAGCTGTGCTGAGCTGAACAACAACAGCAACATGCAAGTGACGCTGAACACATGACTTGGGAAACAGCATGGGACGCGGAGAATTTCGGCAAATTTCGGCTTGGATCCTGCTTGTACTTGTGTCTGGATGCTCAAACGTGCAGACACGACATCAGGATAACTCGTTGAGAGACGGATGCTTGTTGTATGGGATGATGAAGTGAAGATGACTTCATCCCTCTTCCTTCCTCTCTCTGGGCAAACAACTGCTGCGACCACTGCTTTCCACCATTTATAAAAGGATTATTTGGCGTTCTGGTAGCGGGTGGTTAAATGATACGTCTTCGGAGGCTTCTTTGTTTATTGAAAATGTCGTGGAGGGTACACAGGCTTGTGTGTTGTGCCCATGGCCCGGGAGGGCCATCCCATGAGAGAGAGCTAGGAGTAGGCCTTGTGTCTTCCTGCTAGCCCGCTGTGTGTGAGAGCGTGGCAAGGGCCGGCAGGCTGGCGTGCCCACCGAGAGGCCTGGCTACAGAGGGCAGCATCTTAGTGCCGCGAAATATGAACTAAGCTGACAGACAGCATAGGCTGTCTGTGCAGACAGTACAGGCTGTCTGCAGAATGGTCACCAGTCAGAGTAAGCATCTGAATGGTCACCAGTCAGAGCAAGCACCTGAATGGTCACCAGTCAGAGGAAGCATCTGACTGGTCACCAGTCAGAGGAAGCATCTGACTGGTCACCAGTCAGAGCAAGCATCTGACTGGTCACCAGTCAGAGCAAGCATCTGAATGGTCACCAGTCAGAGCAAGCACCTGAATGGTCACCAGTCAGAGCAAGCACCTGAATAGTCACCAGTCAGAGCAAGCACCTAACTGGTCACCAGTCAGAGCAAGCACCTGAATGGTCACAAGTCAGAGCAAGCACCTGAATGGTCACAAGTCAGAGCAAGCATCTGAATGGTCACCAGTCAGAGCAAGCATCTGAATGGTCACAAGTCAGAGCAAGCATCTGAATGGTCACAAGTCAGAGCAAGCATCTGAATGGTCACCAGTCAGAGCAAGCACCTGAATGGTCACAAGTCAGAGCAAGCACCTGAATGGTCACAAGTCAGAGCAAGCATCTGAATGGTCACAATTATCACAATTTAACACAAATTATTACAGTTTAACCAAAATTATCCAGAGTTTGTTTACCATATCTCTGATAGATGGCAGGGTAGAAATTAATCAATCTATTAGTGGAATACTGTATGGGAATGATTGAAAGATATATGCAACACCTGCGTATTTTTATTACGCAGATATTTAGCCCACCTGTCGTCAGTCTATAGTTGATTGAGTTTGGGGGACTGATAACCTCATCTACTGCAGAGCTTAGAGCACCATAGAATCCAGTCAGAGCACCACAAATCCCAGTTAGGGCACCACACATCCCAGTCAGAGCACCACACATCCCAGTCAGAGCACCATACATCAAAGTTAGAGCACCACACATCCCAGTCAGAGCACCACACATCCCAGTCAGAGCACCATACATCCCAGTCAGAGCACCATACATCAAAGTTAGAGCACCACATATCTCAGATAGAGCACCACACATCCAGTCAGAGCACCATACATCAAAGTTAGAGCACCACACATCCCAGTCAGAGCACCATACATCCCAGTCAGAGCACCATACATCAAAGTTAGAGCACCACATATCTCAGATAGAGCACCACACATCCCAGTCAGAGCACCATACATCAAAGTTAGAGCACCACACATCCCAGTCAGAGCGCCATACATCCCAGTCAGAGCACCATACATCAAAGTTAGAGCACCACACATCCCAGTTAGAGCACCACACATCCCAGTCAGAGCACCATACATCAAAGTTAGAGCACCACACATCCCAGTTAGAGCACCACACATCCCAGTTAGAGCACCATACATCCCAGTCAGAGCACCACACATCCCAGTCAGAGCACCATACATCTCAGTCAGAGCACCATACATCAAAGTTAGAGCACCACACATCCCAGTCAGAGCACCATGCATCCCAGTCAGAGCACCATACATCAAAGTTAGAGCACCACACATCCCAGTTAGAGCACCACACATCCCAGTTAGAGCACCACACATCCCAATCAGAGCACCACACATCCCAGTCAGAGCACCATACATCCCAGTCAGAGCACCATACATCAAAGTTAGAGCACCACACATCCCAGTTAGAGCACCACACATCCCAGTTAGAGCACCACACATCCCAGTTAGAGCACCACACATCCCAGTCAGAGCACCATACATCAAAGTTAGAGTACCACACATCCCAGTTAGAGCACCACACATCCCAGTCAGAGCACCATACATCAAAGTTAGAGCACCACACATCCCAGTCAGAGCACCACACATCCCAGTCAGAGCACCACACATCCCAGTCAGAGCACCATACATCAAAGTTAGAACACCACACATCCCAGTCAGAGCACCACACATCCTAGTCAGAGCACCATACATCAAAGTTAGAGCACCACATCCCAGTCAGAGCACCACTCACCCCAGTCAGAGCACCACACAGCCTAGTTAGAGCACCACCCATGTCAGTCAGAACACCACACAACCCAGTTAGAGCACCACACATCCCAGTTACAGCGCCACATATCCCAGTCAGAGCACCACACATCCCAGTTAGAGCACCACCCATGCCAATCAGAGCACCATGCAACCCAGTTATTGCACCACAGGAGAGCTTAGAGCCAGAGATTCGAACAGGTTTAAGAGCTGTCATGTTTAATTATCTAGCGGATGTTTACAGAAGCTTCCGTTGACGTAGAGTTCTGGGTCACAATCAGTAACCAGATGATTGGAACTTGGGAAGGGAATGGAAGAAACGTTTGGGGATTGGATTTGAGAGGGATTGTAACTAAAGTTTGGGACTGGATTTGAGAGGATTAAAAGGAACGTTTTGAAGTTTAATTTATGGGGATTGGAAAGACTGTTTGGGATTGGATTTGAGGGAGATTGGAAGGGAAGCTTGGGAATGGTTTGTTTTCAATTGTGTTATTACGATTTCGTGAGTTTTAGAACTCACCCTAGGTTCGACCCCCACCCGTTCCGTGATCTCTAACACTTACCTGCATTTGCCAGATATTTTTGTCCTCCATTCTTCGTAAATCAGGTACGATGTCGTCTTCGTAAGTCTGAACCAGCAAATGGACCTTCTTAGGCACCTGTTTCCTCCAGCATTCTTCAAAGTTCCTGAGGAGATCGATGGCCGCTGGTCCTGTGAGGCGAGCGTGGACATCGTGCCAGGGTTCCCGGGGTCCTTGGCTTTCTTTCACTTTGATGATTCCGTTGTGAAAGTCCCCGCGGTGTTCGCGGGCCAGTGTGGTGAAGAGGTTGTGGTCTGGCGTATCCCAGCGGCCTTTGGTTATGTCTAGACCGCCCACGAAAGCCACCAGACCATTTTCCCCATCGTCGGCTACTATGAGTTTCTGGTGGTGGGACCACACTGCCTCAACCAGCTTCTTTCTCACTACGGAAGCTGTGATTCGTTTTCGTGTCGTCTTGGCGACGTGAACATTTGTATTTTCGAAGTATCGATCTGTGTTCTCGTCATAAGTTTGAAAGAGCCCGGCGCAAAGTCCCACCGAGAGTAATTCGTTCCAGATGAGTATGAGAACTCGTACTCCTTCTGCTGCTTTCTGCTTCAGCAGCTCCCCCAGGGTTTCCTTGTCACGTTCCAGCCTGGTGCCCGTCCATAGACTCCAGGCGGCAATGTAAATAAACTTCCTCGCTCGGCGGAAAGTGTCCGCCATGGCTTTGAAAACGCCTTCCCGCGGCGTAACTATCCCAGGAATATTACTGAAGTGTGCATCTTGGTATAGAGTGAACGACCCACCCTTCCGCATTGGGAAGTACGACCTGGGCATCTCCATACCCTCCTGCAGTGCCTGAGCTGCTGGGGTATATCTGATCTTCATCACGACTCTTCTTTTCCCTCCCTCGAGATATACAGGACCATCCTTACTCCAGGCCTTGTTTGTATCACCCAGGGCCACACGACCACATCCCACACACTTGGATCGAATGCGATCTTTCTCCCACACGTTAACTTTCAGAAAGTTGGCGGCCTCACATACAGGAATGATGGTGCGCTCGCCCCACACCGCATTCACGGCGTTCTTACGAACTCCTGTGGTAAGTATGTCCTCTGTTCCCAGCAACACAGTTACCCACACGTCCGACCATTCTCCAGGGATGATTTGATATATATGATCTTTGTCACTGAGATCCTCTCCTCTCACCACTTCCAGTTCCAAGTCTCCATGAAGGATCGACATAGTAATACAAGGTATCAATCCACTGTCAACAAACGCAGCATCAACATACCACCTCTCCTTTCCTCCGAACCACCCAGACGGTGTCAACACCTCATAGAATTATCTCCCAGATACGGTAGAAGCATCTTGTGAAGTATCCTGTCAATCGATTAAACTCAAGGAATAGAACCTCCACCTACGTTCAATAATCCACAAGCAATTAGCCCTTCCTTGATATTTCCAGATATCAGGAGACACAGCCACAACTACAGACAACAACTCTCTGTGCTACACTGATCTCTCACACTCGCCGTCCACAGGAAATCCCCGATGTCTGATACGTAGTGCTGAGATTTCCCAAGATAACAATTACAGTCTTGGGGAAATACTTAAACCCTTTGGAGTTACAACACAGGTCTGGGAAGTGTTTATTATTGTTATTTGTAATTAAGACATATTCGCTGCGCTTGGATTAGTAAGTTTATTTAGTAACAAGTAAACATTAACACAGCTATATAATTTGTCATCAAAGCAGAATGTGTGTAAATCACCCAGGAGAACCCCAAAAAGGTCAAACAAACTGACCTATTCCCACTGTGGTCCAAGGATAGTCTTATTAACGAAGCATTTCGATACTGGGAGCTTTGTTGGGGTCATGGTTGTAGAGAGGATGGGTAGGGGTCAGAGTTGAAGACACGTTGTGTGGGGTCAGGGTTAAAGATGGGGTGCATGCATTAAGAGACTGATCACCATCCATCAAGACTGAAGGTGTGATCACTTTCCATGAGGGCTAAAGGACTGATCACCTTCTGTCAAAACTAAGGGACGGATTTCTTGTTTTATTAACGCTAAGGGACTGATCACCTATCAAAGACAGGACAGGACAGACGGTAGTAAGTTACAAACATAACAGAACAACAACACAACATGGTTGTAAGGCGACCTTGTTGTCTCTGACTCTGCTTAAACACCACTTAAACAGTGTTTCTAGTTCCCGGTGTTTGCTGTATCTGACCAAAACATTACCTTGTAATAATAATATAATAATAATAATAATAATAATAATAATAATAATAATAATAATAATATCTTTATTTTTAAAGTACATAACAACGTATACATACCATAGCTGAGAATGTCATACTACAATGTTATACTATATAGAGAGCATTTGAGGGAAATTAGGTTAATTTTGTCCCCAGGACTCGACCACCACCCGTTCACTAACACCCAGGTACCTATTTACTACTAAGTGAACATGGACAACAGGTGTCTTAGAGAAACACGCCCTAATGTGTCCACCCACACCGGGGATCGAACCAGGGCCACTCAGTATACGAACTAAGTGCGCTAACAACAGAGCTCGGGTTCCACAATACCTTCTTCCTCTCTAAACAACTAGGGACCCAACACTGATCACTGTGAACGCCACTTGTGACAGAGTCATGGAATTCCTCACCATTTATACTCACTCGTTTGATTTTGTTAGTCAGCTACACTTGATCCGGAGAACATTCTTCTTTAGCCTAATTCTGTTATTTCCTTTGTTTTTATTTGTTATTCGGGACTTTATTAGAAGCCTTATCGAACTCTAAATAAAGAGTATTACATTATCATGGTCACACTCCTCAAAGTGCTTTAATGATGGACGTCAGTAAATATGCTAAGAATAATTCCTGGTGGCCATTATTGCTTCAGATAATCTGCTTACGTTAACGTCTGGCTTATTGGTCGATAATTTGATGGTAGGGACTTACCTACCTAGCTTCATCGCTAGCGCACTAAGCTCACACACAAAGTTCCAGGGGTCGATCCCCGTAAATGCAGGAAACATTATTACGAGTTCCCATTAAACACCTGCTGTTCTTGTCTACCAATCAGTAAAATGGGTACCTGGGTGTTAATGGACTGGTGTGGGTGGCATCCCGGGTGTTAGTGGACTGGTGTGGGTCGTATCCTGGGTGTTAGTGGACTGGTGTGGGTCACATCCTGGGTGTCAGTGGACTGGTGTGGGTCATATCCTGGGTGTTAGTGGACTGGTGGGGGTGGCATCCTGGGTGTTAAAGGACTGGTGTGGGCCGCATCCTGGGTGTTAGTGGACTGGTGGGGGTGACATCCTGGGTGTTAGTGGATTGGTGTGGGTCGCATCCTGGGTGTTAGTGGACTGGTGTGGATCACATCCTGGGTGTTAGTGGACTGGTGTGGGTCACATCCTGGGTGTTAGTGGACTGATGTGGGTCACATCCTGTGTTAGTGTTAGTGGACTGGTGTGGGTCACATCCTGGGTGTTAGTGGACTGGTGTGGGTCACATCCTGGGTGTTAGTGGACTGGTGTGGGTCACATCCTGAGTGTTAGTGGACTGGTGTGGGTCACATCCTGAGTGTTAGTGGACTGGTGTGGGTCACATCCTGGGTGTTAGTGGACTGGTGTGGGTCACATCCTGAGTGTTAGTGGACTGGTGTGGGTCACATCCTGGGTGTTAGTGGACTGGTGTGGGTCACATCCTGGGTGTTAGTGGACTGGTGTAGGTCACATCCTGGGTGTTAGTGGACTGGTGTGGATCACATCCTGGGTGTTAGTGGACTGGTGTGGGTCACATCCTGGGTGTTAGTGGACTGGTGTGGGTCATATCCTGGGTGTTAGTGGACTGGTGTGGGTCACATCCTGGGTGTTAGTGGACTGGTGTGGGTCACATCCTGGGACAAAACTGACCTAATTTACGGGAAATGCTCAACATAACAAGTGACTTTCTATATAGTAGTATGTCAGTGATGTCAACTATGGTCTGTATACCTTGTACATGTACTGGTAGTAATAAAATTATTATTATTATTATTATTATTATTATTATTATTATTATTATTATTAATGATATTTATAGTAACTACCTTCCACATACTCGGCGAAATAGTTACTCAGGTTTATGGAGACTCTTTCCTCATTTTACCTGGAGAAATTTTCGGGGGTCAACGCCCCCGGGGCCCGATCTGTGACCAGGCCTCGTGGTGGATCACGGCCTAATCAACCAGGCTGTTTCTGCTGGCCGCACGCAAGCCGACGTACGAACTATAGCCCGGCTGGTCAGGTACAGGATTTAGGTGCCTGTCCAGTACTTTCTTTAAGACAGCCACGTACATATGTGGCTTAAGACAGCCACGTACATATGTGGCTTAAGACAGCCACGTACATATGTGGCTTAAGACAGCCACGTACATATGTGGCTTAATACAGCCACGTACATATGTGGTTTAAGACAGCCACGTACATATGTGGCTTAATACAGCCACGTACATATGTGGCTTAATACAGCCACGTACATATGTGGTTTAAGACAGCCACGTACATATGTGGCTTAAGACAGCCACGTACGTATGTGGCTTAAGACAGCCACGTACATATGTGGCTTAAGACAGCCACGTACATATGGGCTTAAGACAGCCACGTACGTATGTGGCTTAAGACAGCCACGTACGTATGTGGCTTAAGACAGCCACGTACATATGTGGCTTAAGACAGCCACGTACATATGTGGCTTAAGACAGCCACGTACATATGTGGCTTAAGACAGCCACGTACATATGTGGCTTAAGACAGCCACGTACACATGTGGCTTAAGACAGCCACGTACGTATGTGGCTTAAGACAGCCACGTACGTATGTGGCTTAAGACAGCCACGTACATATGTGGCTTAAGACAGCCACGTACATATGTGGCTTAAGACAGCCACGTACGTATGTGGCTTAAGACAGCCACGTACGTATGTGGCTTAAAGACAGCCACGTACATATGTGGCTTAAGACAGCCACGTACATATGTGGCTTAAGACAGCCACGTACATATGTGGCTTAAGACAGCCACGTACATATGTGGCTTAAGACAGCCACGTACATATGTGGCTTAAGACATCCACGTACATATGTGGCTTAAGACAGCCACGTACATATGTGGCTTAAGACAGCCACGTACATATGTGGCTTAAGACAGCCACGTACATATGTGGCTTAAGACAGCCACGTACATATGTGGCTTAAGACAGCCACGTACATATGTGGCTTAAGACAGCCACGTACATATGTGGCTTAAGACAGCCACGTACATATGCTGCCACATACTATCCATTATTATTATTATAATCAAGGGGGAAGCGCTAAACCCGGAGGATTATACAGCGCCTGGGGGGGGGATGTGGAAGGCATTCAGGCTTAATTCGGGGAACTGGAGCTCAGATCCAATTCCCTAAATCAAGAGCCCCTCACCAACATCAAGGAACCTTCCTTGAGGGGACATACTATCCAGATTATCATGGTTTTAATATACATATAAAAATCCATTTACGCTTTGTTAATCCCGGCCCAGGAGCTGTCACTCCACAGTATGTTCACCTGTCCTTATCTTTAATGCATTAATTGGTTGACAGGTTCCATAACCCTGTTTTATATTTTTTTTTTCAGGGTTATGATTCGTATTTGCTTTCATTATAGTAGACTGGAAAAGTGGGTATTATTAATATAATTTTTTAAGTGGTAGGTGGGTAAGTCAGTGGTTGACCTGGGTGGTCAGATGACCACAAGTTCCTGTAGCGGGTTATTATGTTAGGACCCGCGTCAGGAAACACTTGTCCTGTTTCCTGACGAACCGACAAAAAAGAGTTTTGAGAACCTATTTCCTTCTCATTATGAGTAAGTTTGTCCAGATCTACTTCCAAGCACACATAAGGGGGATTACCAACAGACCCCTGGCAGTCTTCAAGCTGGCACTGGACAAGCACCTAAAGTCAGTTCCGGATCAGCCGGGCTGTGGCTCGTATGTTGGTTTGCGTGCAGCCAGCAGCAACAGCCTGGTTGATCAGGCTCTGATCCACCAGGAGGCCTGGTCTCAGACCGGGCCGCGGGGGCGTTGACCCCCGGAACTCTCTCCAGGTAAACTCCAGGTAAGTGGGTTCAATTTTACCTTAAGTTCCCACTGTGGGTATTTGTTTAGTCACGAACTCCCACTGGTGGGTTTGTATGTTAATATTACAGTGTGGTGGTCACAGTGACGGTGAGAAAGCTGTATCACCCACTAACACCTCTACACATTAATATGTAACCGTGAAAGTGATGTACTGTTCGATAGATATATGCCAGAAAATAATTTAGGTATTCCTCTATCTATACCATACTCTTAGACATTAACATATATTTAGTAATCAGATAATCCATATTGTGATGGCTAGCAGGGAAGAGGAACCTCACAGGCCGCTTGGTCAGTCTTCTGGCATCAGCAGTGGTGGGTTAAAGAGGTTACCTGGAGGTTATTCCGGGGATCAACTCCCCCGCGGCCCGGT